GGATATGGGTAAATCACTTAAATTTTAATAATGTTATATTTTGTTCATATTCTATGTACAACTTGTACTTTATGACTTTATTTTTGTTGTAGATTTTTGCCTTCATACTTTGCAGCTACTGCCATTGGTGATATTTTCAAAAGTCATTACACTGATGCATGGCCATCATGGAAAAAGGTACCTCAAGATATTCGAGACATGTGGTTTAGTGAGTTCATGGTATGTATTTATATTAATTCTTAACTTTAAAATAAGTTCCAAATATTGAATGTCCTATACCATTTATTTGTTTTGTTTGGGTACAGAGAAAATATACTATTTTCCCACCTGATCATAGGTTGGCTAGAAGGAACTTTGAAATGCGAGGTGCCAACATATTGAAAAGTTCACTAAACAAGGCACGCATGTTAATGAAGAAGCCAAATTGGCTTGCAGAAGATGTATGGGATATCTTATGCCAACATTGGGGATCAAAACAATTCAAAGTAAAAAGTTTGATTGCAAAAGCAAATCGAGCTTCTGATTGTGATGGATTTGGAATTTCACTCCATACTGGTGGCTCCATTAGCACTTCTCAACATAGAGAACATTTGGTAAAGTTTGCTTTATACTCCTTTATGCATGTATTGGTCCTATATGTTGTACTTTTGAACCTATAATGTATATGTGAATTATGGAACCCTGGACTACATTTAGGTGTGGAAAGAATGTACACTAGTTAGTTCAAATTTGATTGCATGGTGTTGTTTATGATGGAAGAGAAAAATAGTTATTACATTACCTATTATCATGACTTGACAAACTTCTTTTATTTTATGGTGGATATTGCACTTCTAAGTTTGTGTTTTTAACCATATTTTAGATAAAGTTGAATGGAAAACCCCCTACCCCATCAGAGTTATTTTGCAAAACACACAAACGAAAGGATAACACATGGGTGAATCAAATATCAGCACATGTGGATGTAAGTTCCTTGTTTTTCTTCTTATGTTAATTTCTTAAACAATTGTATCCTTTTTTATGTTTTTATCCAATTCACTACTATTCTATTTTAATGTTTATAGGCAGAGTTTAGTCGTGCATGGGAAGAAGTTTCCCAATCAGGATCTATTACAGGAGGCTCTTCGCCTAATGAATTACAGGTTTGGTGTAAAGTTGCTGGAATAAACAAAGGCAAAATATATGGGCTTGGATCTGAGTCAAGCAAAGCAATTGGGAGAAATCTTTGTCACGACTCTACTTCATCATCTGTCCAACTTATGAGAGAGGAGATTGAACAATTAAAACACAAGTTACAGGAAGTTGAGACTGAAAGGGATGATCTCCGTGAAAGAATGTTAACTAATGAGAGACAAATTCAGAAAAATGATAAAATGTTGCTTCTCTTGATGGAGAAGATGGATGTTCAACCTCCTGAATTGTGAACTGATTCTATTTTGTATATTGTATTTGTTTTGATAGTTTCGACATTTCTAGAATTATAACTTTTATTTTAGTTTATTCTACTTACTTTTAGATTAAATTTTCAATATGTAAGAAAGTATTTAATTCATGAATGATGAATTCATTTAGAACAAAATTTGTGGTATCATTTTCATGATTATCTTAGATAGTGAAATTTTCATATATTTAATATAATATATAATGTATTTCATATTCCTTAATCGGGTTTATCATTATTTTAAAAATAATATAAAAAAATAAAATAAAATTAGTGACCGATATAGTGACCAATTTGGTCATATATATTCATTCGATTCTTGAATCTGTCACTAAATCGGTGACTAAATCGGTCACTAAATCGATCACTAAATTGGTCACTGAATCAGTCATTGAATCGGTCACTGATTCGGTCACTGAATTAGTCACTGAATCGGTCACTGAATCAGTCATAGAATTGGTCATCGAATCGGTCACGGAATCGATCATCTGAATCGGTCACATCGATTCGGTCATCGATTTGGTCATCGAATCGATCATCGATTCGGTCATCGAATCGATCATCGATTCGATCACTGATTCGATCATCGAATCGGTCATCGATTCGAGCCATCGAATCGATCATCGATTCGAGTCACTAAATCGGTCACTAAGATCAGTGACCAAGGAAATAGTGACCGATTGTAGTTGGTCATTATTTCGGTCACTATTTTAATTAGTGACCGATTTTAGTTATTTAGTGACCGAATTTTCGGTCACTATTTATTGTTTTTCTTGTAGTTACCAAGTCTCTCTATTCATCTTCCTTTCAAGTCAATTTGTCTAAGATGAGTTTGCTCAACATCCATACTTCATCTTGAGTGGGGTATTAGTGCTTCATATATGTACATAGATCTATCGCTTAACACCTTTGTAAAACTGTTTCTATTAAACAATTATTTCTATTTTCAGTTTTATTTTTTGTTCCTGTGTAAAATCCTCCTCTGCAATGACTTGAGCTTTTCTTTTTTAAGGATTTTTACTTTTCGTCTCTCTTTAAACATGCTTTTATATCACTAATAATAAGATTGAGTTAAATATTTTATAATTATATATATATATATATATATATATATATATATATATATATATATATATATATATATATATATATATATATATATATATATATATATATATATATATATATAAAGTGAGGGGTTGAAGTTGATTCAGTGGGCAAAAGTCTGAAATGGATGATAAGAGATTCCAAATTCCATGTTCACTAGTCTTACTTTCACATAGCACGTGCATCACTTTGAATATGAGTTTTAACATTATATTACTCTATATATATTTGCGAAACGAAAATATACGTATGATTCGAGAGCTTTCAATGGTATAGATTCCTTACAAAGTCCAACACAGTTGATGATGATTGAATTCTTGAATAAACTATGAAAAGTATTTCTTCTTCAAGATCATGTAATTTACCATCAACCACAACACAACAAATATGATTGATAATTCAAATTTTTGACGATGAATTATCAAGATATTAAAGTGAACTTTTTTATGGCCATCAGAAATTATCTGCAGATTTATCCATCAATAGCAAGCAGTTACGAACGGGATTGTCAAAAGCATGTGCTTGCGTAACTGCTACTGTGTTATCAAAATTAGGGTTCCTGTCTTAATCGTTGCATCACCCTACCTTGTTATGTTTTGTGGAGTGGGGTTCCTTCAAATTGATTTAGTCGCCAAAGCTCTACATGACTTGATTCAATTCAAATAAAATGCTATTCTAAATATTTTACATTCACATGAACAATACATTATTATTTAACTAAAAATTATTATAATTATCAAAATAAAACAGTGTGAGAAGCATCAATAAATTGTTTTTGGCAGATTAAAAAAAAAACAAATGAATATATCAAAGAATTATCTAAAAGTGTCATCAAAAGTTTGTGCTACTTCTGTCAAAATCAAACTTGAGAAATTTTGAAATTGCATAAGGGTCACAAAAAACATTGGCACAAAATACAAGATTGGCATTACATTACAACAACTTTTTTAAAAGAATATTATCCTACACACTTTTGCATAAATTAAATTACATAAGAATGTCTTACTAAAATAATTGATATCTTAACTTATTCTGATCGAATTGGTGATTAGATGAATTATGTAAATGTACAAAATGAATGAATGGGTCTTGTAACCGATGATTTTTAATTTTTTTTTAATTATGAACTTACTGTAAAATATTCACAAAATAAATACTTTAAATATTAGTTTATCACATTATCAATATTCTTATATTTGGAGTAAAAACTTGTGTTATTATTATTATAATTTTTATTTTTTTATTTAGATTATCAGGTATTTTTACCATAATGATTTCAAAATTAGAGTATGAATTGATCAATATATGATAGCTGCATATATTTTTTTAATATATACAGGATCAACCAATTCAATTAGTGAATTATCAATTCATTATTAATCTAGTATTTCAACTAGAATCGTTAGGTTGGTTTTCACAATATTTATCCCACAAATTGAATAATTAATTATATAACAAGGCATACATCAAAGTGTTTTAAAATACTAAACCAGTTATTGACTTAGTTGAAATACTGAATTAGTGGACAAATGATCCAACTAATAAATCAATAATTCAACATGAAGTCAAGTAATATATATATATATATATATATATATATATATATATATATATATATATATATATATATATATATATATATATATATATATATTAATTAGGTTACTCATATACTAAAATATTATTATTGTGTATTCCAAATTATGTGTTCCATTCCTATGCGAAAATTCATGTATTACAAATTCATATAAGCAACGTAGGTAACCTTGTAGATACTTTTAACATTAATTATTATTTTTTGAATTAATATAAAAAATTAAAACAATCGAATTGTTAAAAGTATTAATAATTTAGAAAGATAATTCAGAAACTATTAAGTAAGATTTGATGGTTTACTTGTTGATCTGGATTTGTAGGAGAGTGGTGGTGGATAGTTGTCTGTTGACATCACTCTGGTACAAAACAAAACAAATAAACAAAAGAAGACCAAGACATTACTAGGCATGAAAATTAAGACTTGTTCCACACAAGATTCCTGGCCCAGCTGATAAACCATTCATCGTAGACGCATGGACAAATACTATTCGCAAAACAAATGAGGATTGGGTTGGGCTCACACAACAAAACCAAGAACAAGAACACAAAGAAGAGACATGACCAATTCAAAGTTGATGTTTGCTAGGACAAAACCAAAACTATAATAGTAACATTACATAAAAAAGGGAAAAAAATAGATAGTTGAAAAGGAGAGAACACATTTGGAGGCACAAAGACGTTTTCTTGCCCCTGCAACCGCGTGTAAGTTTCCAACCAATCCCTACTCAATAACTTTTCTCATTTCACTCGGAGAACCTCTATGCCCCACCATCTATATCCACGCCATTTCAGTATATATTATCACCACATTATTCCAAAATATTCAAACGGTACTTACCAAAACAAAAGTCCAAACATGGCAGATCTCCCACCTGGTTTTCGGTTCTACCCGACAGAGGAAGAGCTTGTTGCCTTCTATCTACACAACCAGCTCCAGGGACAAAGACACGACACAAGCAGGGTCATTCCAGTCATTGATATCAATGGCATAGAGCCTTCCAACCTCCCAAGTAATAGGACTTACGTTTTGCTTCTTCTTCTTCTTTTTTTCACTCATTTGTTTAGTACGTTTCAATCCTAATTTTTTATTTTATTTTTTATCAGCACTTGCTGGGGAGCTTTGTCGTGGAGACAAGGAGCAATGGTTCTTCTTTTCGCCGAGACAAGAGAGAGAGACGAGAGGAGGTAGACCCAGTAGAACCACCGCAAGTGGGTACTGGAAAGCCACTGGCTCTCCTGGCCACGTTTACTCTTCTGATAACAAAGTCATTGGGATGAAGAAAACCATGGTGTTTTACAAAGGGAAGGCTCCTACTGGAAGGAAAACCAAATGGAAGATGCATGAGTACAAAGCCATTCAACACTCTCACCAATCCAACACAACCCCTCCCACGGTATATTCATCATTGTTATCATTGTAAAACCACTTGTATAGTCGCAGTAGTAGTAGTTTTTGTTGGTTTCACATTTAACACAAATTCTGATGTTTTTATAGTTTTTGTTTTTGTTACGTCTGTAGTTGAGGCACGAATTCAGCTTGTGTCGTGTCTATGTTATGTCGGGAAGCTTTCGATCGTTTGATAGAAGACCATTAGACATGGCAAGAGGTGAGTTGCGAGTTGATGGGGATAGAGGTGCTGCTTCAACAAGTGCTCAACAGAAAGCACCAGTGGTGGATGGATCAAGTTCTTCTAATACTTCCCACTCTGGTGGTGCTCATATCCATGAGGCTGGAGCAGGGTCAAGTGGTACAAATTGGAATGAAAGTAATAGGGTTGAGGAACCACTTTGGGAATGGGAACAACTTAATTGGGCATGACCCCTATGTCAAGATCATTCTTAAACAAAGAAAAGCTTCTAAATTCAGTAACATGTTTGCATTCGAAGTTGGCAAGGATGAGAAATTAATCATCTAAAATATTGTAGTTGTAGTTGGGTTCAACTTTCTTCATCTCAAGGAACATATGTAACATAAGATAGAACTTTTCTTTTAGAAATATAGAATTTAATCTAGTAGAGAAGTTTTTAAAAACTTTTCTATCACTATTAATTTGTCCCGGGAAAATAAGTTGGGAATAATAAGATCCAAGCACAAAAAGGAAAGTGGCACGGGTTTTGTCATTTTGTTTTATTTAGTAAACTTCTTGTTGTATTGCATCACGATAATCAATTTCCTCTTTCATCCCTTGAAATTTTCTTTCTTGGGAGTTCAAATAAAATTAATTGACATTCACACAGTATTCAATGATGTCTACGTAAATGTTTCTTTCGTTCAAAATCTATCTAGTTAGTTGGTATCCGTGGTGAAAAATTAGACCATTTCTGTTCATATTACATGGCTTGCATGCTTTGAAGCCTTTAATTTGGATCAAACCAAGAAAAAGAAAAAAAAAAGTAAAAATTGTGCCGTCTCTTGAATGGATTCAAATAATTGAAAGTTTTGAAAACAAATTCAAATGGCATGTTTGATATTTGAGAGGAATAGAAGTAATTAACAGTCAATTGACCTAACGTTTTTGGTCAAATTTCCAGTGTTTTTCCTACATCTGGGGAAAGGGATGGGATGAGAAATTATAATGGGCATAGATTTTCAAATGCATGTTCTATTGTTCATATTAGTCCATTTTATTGTTTTCTAACGAATGAGTGGATTACGTGTAGAAATTAATGGTCTTCCATCTTCAAAGGAATTGTTTTGATGAGTACAAATAAATATTTTATCATAAATATTACATTTAAAAAATGAAAAAATTATTTATATAAATAATTTTAATTAAATTTTAAGTAGCGAAATTCATAATAAAATATTTAATTTTATTAGTAAGATTAAATATGCTTTAAATGAATTAAGAAAGGTTATACTAAAAAATCGAAAATTGCCATTCATTATAAATGGACTCCACTTATCTATTAGTCAAAGTCGAGAACAATTTTAAATGTTAAAATTATTTTCATTTCTAATAATAATTTCCCGTTAATGTCAACGTTGCTAATGTGACTTGAATCGATTAAGGATTAACCTAAGTTCCTCGATGCATGTAAAAAATATAATTCTGAAATATGTTTTTAATAAAAAAGAAAAACAGTAATTGTAAATTTTTGTCCTTGTTATTAATCTCTCTCAAACTGAAAATTATGTTTATCACATATATCATACTACAGTAATAAACTATCTATTTATATCTTAAATAAAAGTTAGATGATCAGTTACTAATATTGGAATATAATGTTGCATAGATTATTAGTTAAAGATGTTCTGAATGTAATGGAGTCAAAGATAAAATAAAAGAAGAAGAGACACAAATTAAAAAAATTATAGATTATTTCACATTTTTATTTTTTTACAAAATTTAAGATTTCTTTTAAGTAATCTAGTTATTATCTTAAATTATTAGGTCTTTAATTTTTATTTTTATTTTCATTCAAATAATATATTTTATATTCAAAATCTTTATTATATTTTATAAGATAATTCAAGATCGGATTCGGTTAAATAAAAAAATATTGATATCTAATTTGATTTATATTTTTAAATACTCAACCTAACTCTATATTAAATGAGTGGACCAATTTTAATCTGATTGAAAATTAAAATAAATTATTAATGTTATAAAAATAATTAATTAAAAATTATTTAAATAAAATTTTTAACTATATTTTAAAAATAATTAAAATATAATGATTATATATATATATATATATATTAATATAAAATAATAATGCATCTTAATTATTTTATAAATTTTATACTAGTTAAGTAAATGTTATAAATTGATAAATATGTTAAATGTTATTATTAATTTACAAATATAATATTATTTACTACAAGAAAAAACATTTTTAGTGATTGAAATTTTTTTATTGTAATTAGCGATGGATTTAGTAACTGATATAATTTGGTCGCAATTAGTTACCAATTTAGCGATCGATTAAATTCGATCGCAATTATCGACTGATTTAGTAACCGATTTAATTTGGTCACAATTAGAAATCGAGTTAGCGATCGATTTAATTCGGTCACAATTAGCGACGAATATAATTCGGTCACAATTTAGCGATCGACTTTGTCGTACGAAATATGATTTGGTTTAATTTTATTTAACGATCGAAATAGTGACTAATAGTTTGTGTCACAAAATTTTGATCGCTAAATCGATGACTATTCTATAATAAAATAAAAAAATTATTTAGCAATTGATTTAGCGACCAAATAACAAATTAAAATAGTGACCGAATTGAAATCGGTCGCTAATGAACATTATTTTTTTATTATATTTAAATTTATTTTTTATAAATATACTTTAATTACTTTCGTATATTTTTTACGATTTATTTTTTAAAAGTAATTTATTTTTTAAAAATAAATTATTTTTTAAAATATACTTTAAAAATAAACTTTGGTTTCAATATTAACAAAATGAATATTAACTTTAATTTTAAATTACTAAAATAAAAATATTATTAAAAATAAATTAAATTTATTCAAAATTTAAATTATAATAAATTAAAACTATTCAATATATTGTTTAAGAAATATTTAATAACAAATATTCTTTAATATATTTTTCAATTGAAAATTTCAATTGAAATTAAATTATATTTTAAAAATTTATATTAATAAAATTGAACACATCAAATTATCATATTTTAATTCTTCATTAATTTAATTAATTAAAAAAATTACAATATCAATCAAATTATTACAATTTTATTTTATAATATTTTATTTTCAATCTAGTTTTTAAATTTATTGTTTTATTATTATTATTAATTGTTTAACCCTGGTCATCTTCATATAATTGATATAATAGAAAAAAATTATATCAAAATATAATTGATATACATTAGATAATAAATATATTATTTAATTAAATTATTTATAAAAATATATTTATCTTTAGTTGAAATATTTTTTTACTTTAAATATACTAATTAATATTTTTTATTTTTAACAAAATTAATAACAAAGATTAAAAATAGACGGCTAGAAAAGTTAAAAATTTAAAACTAATTCATTTTATAAATACTAAAAATAAACTATATTTAAATAAATTAAAAATATATTTAAATTTATATTCAACACACCTCCAATTTTGCTCAATAAATACATAGATCACATTTAGAAACTTTATCATTGAAATAACTTCAAAATTATTAACTTTATTTTTTCAAAACTCAGTTTTTCTTGTCAGCTTTAAAAATAAAACAGTTAATGAAACAATTAATGTAAGTTAAGGATGTACCTTTTTAAAATTTCACTTTTTTATATATTGGATTTTTATTAAAAAATTTCTAAAATTGAATAAGAAAATAGAGATTTAATTATACTTTTAATAAATATAAGATAATATTAGTTTTTATTTTTATTTTTAAATATTTATTTTAATTTTTTAAAACAGAGAAACTATAATTTTAGTTTCTAAATACTAAATATAATTAATTAAGTTTATTATTATTTAATCTCTTGATTTTAGTATTAAAAATCTAAATTATATTTTATTAAATTAAAATAATTACAATATATTTTTCTACTTTGAGAATTAAAAATATAATTAAACTAAAACTGAAAAATATTATAATATATTTTTGAACTCTTTTTTATAATCTTTTTATCATTATTATATTTTTGGATTAATTGTTTTTTCCTAATTTTTTATAAAGTCAATTTTAATATTTAAAAATATTTAATATTTTGAATTCTGAAACTTTTTCTCTATTAGAAAATTTAAAAACATAATATACTAAAAAAGTATTATACATAATTATTTCATCCAAATTTTTAATAATATGATAAGTCATCAAATTCGCTTTTTCTTCTTTCATGTCTTTTCTTTTCAATATGAGTGTTTGAATTTATAAAAAAATTTATCTACAAAATTCATTTCTCTAATTTTTATCTTCACATTTCTTAACTATTTTTTTTATAGTTATGAAGATCAAGATTGGTACACACTTAAATATATTATAAATGAAGAATATTTGTTCATTCTAATTTTTTTTTCTCAACCTATAATTTTTTTTTAAAATATATTTATATTTTTTAAAATTATTAATTTTAATCTAGTCATCTAAATCTTTGATGTGATGATTCTAATTAATTTATATTATAAAATAATTTTATTTGATTTGTTATAGCAAAAATCATCAAAGTAAATGTTAAAATAATATTAATTACTTTAAATTATAAGAAAATAAATAATAAAAATAAATTTGAAGTTAAAAAAATACATAAAAATAAAATAAAATTAAATTAAATACTTGTCTTAAATAATATAAAACAAATTTAATGATGGATTAAAATAGAACAAAATTTATAAGAGACTATTTATTTTTATTTATGATGGATCAAAATTATAAATATATTTAAATTTATAATTTTATTTATGAAACACATTTAAATTTATAATTAACAAAAATAATGAAAATCTTAATATAATATGATACTTTTAGTAATGTATTTTTTTATAAATTTAAACTTACTTTTTTTAGTTTAGTTTTTAAATTTTATGTATTATTATTGTTAATTGATATACTAGAATAAATTTATATAAAAATAGTCTTTATCTTCAAAATTTTGTTTTTTTAAAATTTACTTCTTCAAATTCGATCTTTATATTTTTTACTGTTTCTTTATAGTTAAGAAGGTCAACAGTTGTGCATACACTTAAATATAATATAAAATAAAGAATATTTGTTTATTCTATTTTTTTTTCAATATATAATTTTAGTATTTTTTTAAATATATTTTATATTTTTAAAATTAATAATTTTAATGTAGTTAGCTAAGCTTTTGATGTGATGATTTTAATTAATTGATAT